TAGGGTTTAGGGCCCTAAACCCTGAGCCCCTAAACCCTACAAGCCCTAAACCCTAAACCCTAAACCCCCAAAACCAAAAAAGCCCTGAACTCAAAAGCCTTAAGCCCTAACCCTAAGCCTTGAACTCGAAGGAACTACTAGAAAGCGCCAAGAGACTGTTCCCCCTCGTAGATCCTGAGATGCTTCGTGAACGGGGTTTGAGGAGGTTCAAACCCTAAACCCTAAAGCCTAAACCTTCAGGCTAAGGATTTAGGAGTTTAGGGTTTAGGGGCTTAGGGGTTTAGGGGTTTAGGGTTTAATTAGCGTTTAGGGGTTTAGGGCCTTCTGATTCTGGAAACCCTAACATATCCTGAGTCCTACGGCTGATGACATACATCCTGCATTACACCCATAATAAGGAATATACCATAATTCCCATAGCTCAGGGTCCTTAAGGTACTGCAGGATTCATATCATCAACAGTATGTACCTAGATAGTAGGAAGTAGGGTTCTACAGTAGGAATTACTATGGTTTGGGGAAGTATCGCCCTTCCTAAACCCTAAACCCTATAAACCCTAAACCCATAATATGTATCCCTAGGGCTTCCTATAAAAAGAGGTTGAGGGTTGAGGGTTTATATGGGTAGTTCTTATACCTAGGGTCCCTTGTTAGGGTCCGGGTGCCGTACTATATTGGGGACCCTAATTTAGAGAGCCCCTTAGAAGGAGCCCCGTGAATGTAAGCAGTATAGGTACTTCGGACCTTTTACGTACGCACGACTGAAGCCACTCTCCCAGACCTTCCTAGATACTTTAATTACGGAATATACCATAAAGTAGAGACCCTAAACCCTAAACCCGAAACCCTAAAACGATTTAAGGCGTAGTCCTTAATCAGGGGATTGCTGAGTCCGCTGGGTTCGAAGAAACGATTTTCTTCATCAGCGGCCTTAATGACTAGACTATGGGTTTCTTCAAGAGCTCCCTTTACTAGTTCATGGTTGGAATCGAATGACAATGAAAATTTAAATTTCTATTCCTTATTGGGTTTTAAGTGGCCATGCATACACGACCTACCCAAAGGCTCCTGGACCCTTGTAGTGAGACCCATACCCTAGCCCGCAAAGCCGAAACCCTCCCCCAGAAAGCCCAAGACCCTCTTAGGAGCCTTAGGGTAGACAAAGTTTAAAAGGGGTTCCTGCAGAGTTTAGTAGAAGGGGCAGAATGCTCGGACTGGGGCTTCGGGGTCACATGAAACTGCACCCTAAGGCTCCTAAGAGGGTCTTGGGCTTTCTGGGTTTAGGGTTTAGGGTTTAGGGTTTAGGGTTTAGGGCTTTGGGGGCTAGGGTATGGGGTCTCACTACAAGGGTCCAGGAGCCTTTGGGTAAGACGTTATAAGATTATGACCACTTATTCAGGCTTCTGATGACCGTGCATCACAACAAGGTTCCTTCTCTAAGCTACGGCATATACTCCTGACATTTCTTAGGGCTTAGGCATAATCAAGAATTCTAGAGCTTCTAACCCCTGAACCCTTGTGTCTGGAACCCTCAACCCTAAACCCTA